AAAAAAATGAAAAAAAAATTAAAAAAAAAATAATATTTTAAAATTTAATATAAAAAAAACAATGCAAAAAAGGGGAGGGGGTGAATGGTCAAAACCCACAAAAAGGTTCACAGACCTGACCTAGGCACATTCAACACAAATATGCAATAGCGCAGCCCCTGTGAGAACACAGTTACTTCATATTGCTTTAAAAAATCTATACTCCCCTAACCCCCCCCCCCCCCATTTAAATGACCTTCCTGAACAGCACTGATTCACAAGTAACTGCTTCCTATACAAATCACATTTTGGGTGGTGTTGGGGGAAGCTCAGTGAGGCTTACTCCAAATAAGTGTGTGCAATATTGCACTGATAGGTACCAAAGAGATTTGACAGGATGGCCATGCTCCAGATCCTCTCTATAAAACAGTGCCATCTAGTAGGACCTAGGAAGTGTGCCTTCTCTACCACAGTGCCAGGCCCCTGGAACAGCTTGCCCTAAGATTCAGATGGCCCTGACCCTCCTGGGATTTTGTAAGGCCTTGAGGCCTGGCTTTTCCCCAGTGGTGGTGGATGAGCTGAAATGGGTGGAGAATGGGCTGGCCTCAACTGTGTCTTGCTTCTTCGTTTTTACTGTGTTTGGTTTATTGTATTGGTTTTAATCCTATTTTAGCAGCCCAGGTGAGGAATCTGTGAGTTGGGTGGCCATATAAATTGAATTAAATAAATAATAAATATATTTTCAGTATTTGTAGTCACACAGCAGACTTTATTTGTTTACTATGCAAATTTATATGGCTACACATCTTAATGAAATAACTCTAGGCATGTGACAAGCATAAAAACAGAAACATCCATATAAGAACATTTTTAAAAAACAGTAAAAATGCTGGCTAAAAAATCTGTCAATCAAGGCAAAAGCAGAAAACTTGCTCCATTAACATCCTGGTCCTAAGGCCTGAGGGATAAGCTAGATTTTAAGGCTTTCTGAAAGGCCAACAGGGTCAGGGACATCCTAAATCAGGAGGGAAGCTGTTCTACACGGCAGGCCCCATGACAGATCCCAGATGATTTTGGTGCTTATGGAAACACACTGCTTGGTTGTTCTAGTAATCTAAGCAATTTGAAAATGATGTTCCTAGCTTAGATTTTATAAGTCAAGCAATAATATACTTAATATAGACAAATGACTAGAGAGAAAATGCCTGCTTTTTAATTATTTAAAAATGAAAATAAAAACAATCCATGCAAAAACACATCATGATTAAATACAGTGGTGATGATGATGATGATGATGATGATGATGATGATGATGATGATGATGATAATTATATCAGAAGAGAGAAACACTACTGACTGACAACTGTCAGCCAATCTGTCTATTCCAGAGTCTGTGTTTCTTAGCAGAAGCCAACCATGCCTTCTAAAGAAGGAAATTAAAAAGGAAGATATCGCTGGTAGATATGGCTTCGGAAGATATGTAAGAGACCTATTGTTATTCAAAGTCAAGAAGATACAGAACTCTCAAGGTCCAAAACAGGGCATGGCATTGGGCCCAAATACAAAGTGGAAATCAGTGTAGCTGTATTAGAAATAGCACTGTATTTCCTTAGCAATCTATGTACTGATCAACAGTTGGGTGATCACATAATGATAATAATTATATATTAGGACCTGGTAGCTTCACATCTCCTACGTAGGTTCATTGTCCAGGATGAAGCTAAGAGCTAAGTGGGTTGAAGCAAAGTTAATATAGGTACTGGGGAAATTTCAGATGATACTTCCAGTTTAACTTATTACAGGCAATATCTAGGTATACTTTTGTTTCTTCTTTCCAAACAACAGTGATAACAAAAAGAAGGGCCATTGTTTAACTGTTTCTAGCAGTTGGATTTGAGATGGATCTTTCATTTGGATGCATTATCTTTTGTTGATAATTTCATCTTGCTTTCAGTTACTGTGTTTCTGTATCTCTAATATTATTCACTTGTTCTTCAGTACAATGACCCCATTCACTCTGCTTTGTTCTAAGGACTCGACCAAATATTGTGTGTGCCAAATAATTATATGGGGTACATTATTCATTTTAGATTAAACTAGTGAGCTAGTGAAAGGCTAATCACTCTTCCTCAATTAGTGTAATAGCAGTATTTTTTTCCTGTATCCTATATAATTTATTTACAAGTACTCAGCTTCAGTTAAATTAATAGTGATAATTGCTGGCTACACTTCATATTCTGACATCAGAAGGATACAGAATGTGGTTTTCCTGATCAGTGAGTGGCAGATAATTAAGTGGTCATTCATCCAAAATTTTATTTGCTATACAACGGTAGTGTGTTGCGAACATCTCCCTCTCCCTGTAAGGTCCCCACCTACCCACCCAAAAAATATTACAATCACCACAAGCTGATTCTTGCCTTAAACCCCCCCCCTTTCTTACTAGAAATCCTAAAATACATAATTCATCAAAACTCTGAAAAACACAACACTCAGCTACTGTGCAGTTTTGTACATGAGCAATATATTAAAACACCAGAACCAAATGTTTAGGAATTTAAAAAAGGAATTATTTAGAGGAAGAGCTAAAATGGAAAAGAAAGGAAGGGGGAATAAAGAAGATATTAAATCATTCACAGAGATACTTTCTAACAACACTATGAGTTGCCTGTTATCTACTGAGTATCTCCAAACTATGTGCAAGATTCTTTACAGTAAGGGAGCTTACCTGACCCCCCCATTAAGATATTTCCAGTATTCAGTGAGCAAAGCTTTACTGAATTATAGGAATCTGGAGTTAATAAAAACTGCCCCTCATTGTTATTCCCAATGAAGTGATAGCTGAGTTATGCTATCAGCAGCCTAGCTTATCAGTTACACAAAAGTAGATCCACCCCTCTTCTCTGAATTCACATGTCAAAAAATTGCAGAGGAAAGGTTTTGTGATGTAGTTCTCAATCCCAGAAACCCTAGATGGCGCTGTTGAGCTACAGTTGAATTTTCCCCCTCTTCCCCCAGTCTGGATTTTTTGACCTAGAGCCCTTTAGAATGTAACACTGCATAATAAGTACTTCTGAAAGTTATAGTTGCTGTACCTCACTAAGTTAGGGACTGATGACACATCCACAGATTTACAAGAAATCATACATTCTTGGAAACATCTAGGTTTCTGTTTAATTCATTAAATAATGAATTAAATTAAAAAATCTATATCTCTTTTCATCTGCACCGTTCAGACTATAAGAAATGTCATATTTGTATGATCCTGACAGTTTCTTTTTAATCTGCATTCTAACTTCATATAGATGATCCATATACCAAGAACCACAACTGAAGCTCATTGTTCAGAATTGCTGTCTACAGCAATCATCATGGTGGGCTCAAAATGTTCTTTTGGGCTCCAGTTCCCAAAATTCTCAATTCTAGAATAGTAAAATCTGAGCCATGCTTACATTTTAAAACATAAAACTGCATCTAAGATTAGAAACAGATTTTTTTTTCAAAAGGGAAAATGAAAGTGTAAAGATTTTTTTCTCCTTTAACAGATTTTCAAAATTGTTCTCTTTCTTACAGGATGGTCAGCATCCAGTTCTGCTCCATAGCTGAGGATCTGATTGGCAAATCTGTCCAATTCTTGAATAGTTCTTGGGAACCATGGTACTAGAAGGCAGGAAAAAAACATCAACTGTGATTAGTTCCTTGTCACTTCGTAAGAGGGTAAGAAATATGAAGTTTAATTCCTACTAGTTTATTCAATATTTGCTTGACATTTGCACTGAAATAAAGATAGACAAAAAGTTGGAGCTGAAAATTGTGTTAAAGACTGAACAAGCTAGACTTGTTCAGTGAATTTTGTCCTGGTGCGTAAGAAAGATCTCAGTGACTTGCCGAATCAACTGGAAAAAATACAGATGAATATACTGAAGGCCATTTTCTAACCCACTATTTTTCCAGTTTATATTCTGTAAGAAGCAACCACTGGAAAGGAACCAACAAGCCCTGTCTGAATGAAGTAATGTTTGGTGTAAATCCCAAGAGTAAAAGAAATGTGTAAGAATAGAACTCTTATCGATTGGACCACTAAAAAAGACTAAAAGAGTTTGAAATGCATCCATTTTTTTCTCCTTGGCAAATAGCTCTTGATGGATTTGTATCTGCATTTTCCATTTTCAGATTTTTTCAGATTTTCACTTTCTTATTTTTTAGTTCTATTTGGGTGTCTCCATATATGTTTCAGAATATTAACGTGAATAACATTTGACATTGTATATGCAATATCCATTTTGTTTATGCAAATATGCCTTGAATATTTGGTGTTATTATTGAACCAGGATCTTACTGAGGAACATAAACCGTCTCTGTTTTTGTCTCTGAGCTGAGTTCATTTTTCACACTGATTAATTTTATTTCTTTTCATTTGCAGAACTCAGACGTCCTTCTGAGAAAGAGCTAGTCATGATTTAAATTAGCAGTACTCTTTTTTTTGGTTGGGCCACTAGATGGCAGCAGCAGCAAAATATTATAGCTTTGACCATATTTGTGCATGAAAATCTCTATTTTAAGGACATCCAAACCCTTTGGAGGAACAATTGTGCCCTGAAGACTCTTAACAAAATAATTGGAGCAAGACACCCAGTCAGGGCCACACCTATTATGATCTATCAGCCACCCTGACACTCAAATATTGAGGCTTCCCCTAGGAAACTGGATCTCCTAAGACCCACAGTTCTGTAAATCTGAGCCATCCAGGGGCTTAATTTCTTGCCTCAAGTTCTATAATTCTAGACACAGATATCAAAAAATCTCCTTTCATCTTAAAAATGCTCCATTGCTTATTGCATTCATGCAATCCTATCCACATTTCTTGGCATGTTGTAATTAATAGTGACATGTTTAACAGCATCACATTCATGTAAGTAAGCAATTTGTTGACTGAGGACCTTGTTTCAACTGGGACTTTGGAGGAAAAAGTCCTACTCAGACTTATGTATCCTAGAACAGGTAGTATCAAACCATAAGTAGTAGGGAAGATGGGTGAGAAAGGCTTACATAGATATTTTACTTTCTACCCACCCTGCTGCTGGCTTGACTCTAAATCAACCCTGGATTGTTTTGGAATGGTTGTTGAGATTTTCTTCCTATTTCCATCCCTTCTATGTGCCTCATTTTCATGCAGTGGTTAGAATATGCGAAATGTACATTTAGATCCTAGTATATAATCTGAGGCATATGGTGCAGCAACCTTGCTATAATTAGGTAGAGCTAATCCTGTATAAGCTGTTATGTATTCTGACCCTCTGAAGTTATAAGAGGAGGCTGGTTTCCAAAAGGAGTTAATGGGCATTTGCAGAAACTTTTAAATTCCTTTGTTTTGTATATTGTATCAAATTCTGCTCCCTAAAGCCCAGAGTTTCAGAGAGCCTATTGAGAATAAAGAATATTCAAATCTTTGCTACACTTGCAGATATCACTGGCACGGTTCTCTTAATTAAAAGCAGTCTGGTCAAAACTGGCTAGACCAAAAGACTCTCCACACAGCTTTGTTTCTTACAATAGTCAACCAAATGCCTATGGAAAGCCCATAACAGGGAGCACAACGTTGTGCTTTGTTGTTTATTTCCCAGCAACTCTTATTTCAAGGCACTACTTTATAGCTATCAAGGCTGGTAACCACTGATGCTCCAATCCTTGTCTAATCAGAACTGGCATGCAAAAAGTGGGTTGCACATAGCTTACTAATATCCTTATTTAGACCTTTCTACACATCCCTATGCATTAGATCTGACATACAACTTTTTTTACATGTTTGGTGTTTTATAATGTTATTTGCGTACATTTTCAACCTATGACTGGAATATTTTCATTGCTTCCGTTGTGGCTTTTGTTTTCATACATAGATTTATTGTTCTGATTCTGCCCTGAAAGTGTATTATGGAAAAGTAGGATGTGCGTGTGTGCGTGTATCTATGCACCAGCTTTCCCCATCCTGGTGTTCCCCAGATATCTTTAACTCTTTCATTGTCATTTACTGTACAATTACATTTGCTGGCTTGGTTGGAATGGCTGGGTTTATAGGGCAACATATGTGGAAGATGAGAGCCAGTTAGGTGTAGTGGTTAAGGCAACAGGTTAAAAACCAGGAAAGTGTCTGCTCTAGTCCTGCCTTAGGCACAAAACCAGCTGGGTGACCTTGGGCCAGTCACTCTGTCTCAGCCCTTGGAAGAAGGCAATGCCAAGCCACTTCTGAAATGCTGCCAAGAAAACTGCTGGGACTGTCCATCTACTTACCAGCAGTCAGGATTGACTCAAAGGTACAAAAGAGAGAAAATATACACAGTGCTATTTTTATACCCATACATATCTGTTCAGAACTAAGCCCAGCTTAATTTATATTATTTAATCCCATATAAATGTGTATAGGATTGCCTAAAAATAGAACATTTCTAGAACATACTGTTTCTTCTGTGGCTGTTAATGAATGGCCAGTGCAAGCTGTTGCAACACTGACCCTCCTCAGACCTCTGCAGGGCTCGTGCAAGTTGATTAGTAATAAATATTGATTTGTCTGCAGGAGTAATAGCAGCATTTTATGGTCCTGCTGCGGACACCCAAGTGGTGACCAATTTACAAGAGGTCAGATGCTTAATGGGATGCTAATCAGCTATTTATATGAGAGCAAGGAAACCAAGGAGAGCCAGAGATTCTCCAGAACTTTTCCCATTCTGGGGAGGGGTCAATGACAGGGCTTCGGTATTTATTGCCATTTGCAGCTCAGGTTGGAGCCTTCTTTAAACATGGCCAACTGTTCTGGTCAGCCCCAGGGTCCCAAGCTAACAAGGCTTCTACAGACCCTCAGCTTCCAGCTTGTCTCCAAACAGCAATAAATTATTTCTGTTTTCCCACTGAAACTGAATCATATTTAATTATTTCATTCAGGACTCCAAGGGATGTAATGCCAAGCATGTTGAAAGCACTACATTGTGTTTTCATGACAATTCATTTGAACCCCTAAAAAAACCTTTTAAAGTAGCTTGATTGCCAACTCTGCAACTACACCAGGACACTGTGATAAACTATAAATGTTCTGAAGCTTTTGGGGTCAGTTGGCAAATTTAAGGGTCAGTTGGCTCAGTTGGCTTTTGGGGTCAGTTGGCAAATTTAGATTTTTGAGAAGTTGTTATGGGCACTGTTACAAAAAATTGTGGTTAACCTGGCACACTACAAAGGTCCTTTTCATCAGAGGATAACTTGGTCCCCAGAGTCTTCTGGAGCGGGTAGCCATAATAAATTTAAATAAATAAATATCCCCTTTATCCTGGAAGGATACGGTCTGATACACAGCTTCCTTCTGACTTTTTTCTGTGCTGATAGCAGTCCCCTATCATTTTAGTTTTCTAAAAATGCCTCTGGGGTTATGCACAGCCCTGAAGCATTTTTAGCAGTCATCAAAATACAGAGTTAGAAGGGGCAATTCATGCTTGAGGTTGGTGCCTTGCTTTGTACGACACTAAGGTAAAGTCTCCTTTGAGCTGTGGTTGATACAACGTGTTAATGGCTGGATTCCCACAGCACACAGAAGTACAACCTACTCAAATCTATCTTAATCTCACTGTAGAGTGCTACACAAACTCAGCCAGAGTGTGAATCTAAGCATCTTTACTCAACTATTAACTCTATGTGTGCATATAAGAATTTTGATCACAATAGAGACAGACTTCTGGTATATAAACAAAAGGTCCTCTTAAAAAACAGGGTGGGTGGGTAAGTGTCTTCACCAGCCTTCCCTGCTGTGCAATTGAGGAAAATGTACCACAAACAAATGTTAACCACTCTATGATGTTCCTAAGATTAATGATCATGGTCTTAGTGATGGGCAAGATACCCTATCCATCACCATCAATTTGTCACCAAGACTTCCCAGCCTACACATGTATCTCACCATCTGCCCATCTCTTGTGCAGTTGCTATATTGCCATTAGATGCCAACTGGGCTAAACATATTTAGACCTGGAAAGTAACCCATTTCTCTCTCTCTCTCTCTC